GGGTTAGTGGATGTTAATGTGAGATCGATATCAGTTCCATGCGGATACTGGGGCGGTCAGGTCGGAGAATGGATGAGGACTAATGTGATCGATGTGGTCAAAGCGTACAAGCTATTCTGCATCGGACAAGGAGTGATTGGAAATAAAGACGATAGGGAGGAAGGTGTTGAAGGTGAAAGTGTTGAAAGAGAAAAGGTGGAGCAGAATGAAAAGGACGAGTGGGATACGGATATGGAAAAAGCTTTAGAGGAGTGCGAAGAGTTTAAATCTTATAATGATATTTTAATCATAGTGGGTCGGAAACCAAGGGAGGATGAACTGGTGGACCCAATGAAAAACTTTAAAATGGATGATTTTGAGTTAAAAAAGTTGAAAGTAGAGGAACACTCAAATGGTAAGAATGAGGATGCAGGGAAAGGGGAATCAGCCGAAGAATTAGAAATTAGCGATGAAGATTTAAAAGATAAAGAAGTGTCATAGAAATTTTACATCTGAAGCATAATGTATTACGCATTCATTATATACTTGTATACGTAAAAAAATCATAATCAACGATTTCATCTTTATTTATTGAATCTAATTATTGTGTAAATATGATGAAAGTGATACTTTCAAATGATTGGAATATAAGAATGCTAGCTGAATCTAGAAACTTTTTTTTCCGGACGTGGCGTTCAATCCAATAATTATGATGTCAGAAAATTACAAATATAAAATGACAAATCGCGTATCGTACATAACTCCGCCAGGAAACTTATCTATATAAATGTATATGTCTTTCGTTCTCAAAACGCTTTTCTTTTGAAGTTACTTTAAAAAATTAAGGAAAATGACGAACCCAAAAGTGAAGGTTGGTGATAAAATTCCTGATGATGTATACTTTGGTGTACTTAACGATGGCGAAGAAAAACCTCGCAAGGTTAGCGCACAGGAAATTTTTAAAGGAAAGAAGGTGGTTCTATTTGGGATTCCCGGTAAGTAAGGAAGACGAGTTTCGAGGGATTTATTGAACCCAAGTGACAATCTTTTCGATCTCTGCAATATGAAAAACAAAAGGCGCTTTTACCTCCGTGTGCAGTTCAAAGCATTTACCTCAATATGTTGAACGCACAGACAAATTGAAAACCAAAGGTGTTGATGTGATTGCGTGTGTTGCTGTCAACGGTAATTACTCATTCATTCATTATATTTTGGTTTGTTTATTGTATTATCATTGTTATTAAATTATGCACTTTTATTATCATTAGATCCCTACGTCATGCGAGAATGGGCACACACTCATGGCGTTGGTGATAAAATCCTGATGCTAAGCGACGGCGAAATAGTATTTCATTCTGCGCTTGGACTCACCCAACATCTTCCATTCGCTGGAGAACGCGGAATGAGATTTTCGATTTTTGTCGATGACGGAGTTGTTAAAGTGCTTAATATTGAGGAACCGGGTGCGATGAGTTATAAAGTTTCTGGGCCGGATCATATGATAGAAGATCTCGAGAAATTGGAATAAAGTGAGAGTGCTTGTAGAGGCAAGGTGATTGGAAGAAGGTTGCGGTTGTAGAGAAAAGGGGATCGGAAGATTAAAGGCTGTAAATGCGTTCTCGTTGATTCATTGATTTTTATTTCTTTTCTGAAAACATCATTCATCAACTAGTTTGATGCTTCATCTACCTTGTTTTATTACCTTTAGAATTAATGATGTTTTATAATCTTGCATTTGAAAAATATTATGGAATCATTATATTCGTATGTTCTCTCAGGTATTGAACTTCGAGAAAGGGCTCTTGGAACATTATTC